AAAGAAAACTAAAATAACCTTATTTTAAATTAGGAATAAGATTGCTTTAGTCTTTTCCTCTAGTGTTTATTAAAGCAATGTAGTTTTGGGGTTTTTTTCCTTCTAATTTTTTAGAGATTCAACCAATAAACACTAATTATGTATATGTATAATTAATGGATTGAATGTTCTATTTATCTTGCTCATTCATCTCATTTTTTAGATTGATCTAAGTAGCCCTAATTAGCTCATTAATTATACAAATTTAACATTATTAAATATATGTTAGTAAATAAAGTTTTATCGATCAAAAGGCTACAAATGTTAAATCAAATTGAAAATTGACTTATGTGATCTACTTGAATAGAATGTTTAAGATTTATCTCCCTAAAATAGATAATTGAGATTTATTTACTTTTTATCTTATGTTTTATAAATAATTGTCCTTTTCATGTAGAAAGTCATGATAAATCTCAATTATTCATCATGGAGAAATGAATAATCAAGATTTAATGTAAGAAATGTGTGTGTTGTGTATAAGTAGATCTATTTTCATATATATAAATATATATGAGTACAGATCCCCTTAGACACAAGTTTTGCATATCACACTTACACAAAATCTCAACCAACCATTCATTTTTTCACTTTCAATGGTTAAGATTTTTTCATATTTATTAAAAATAATTATTTTTTAACCTAAGAAGTGGTGATAAATCTCAACTATTGAAAGTGAAAAGATAAATGGTTAAGATTTTGTGTAAGTGTAGCGTGTAAGACTTGTGTCTGAATGGATCCCTCTTCTATATTTATAGAGAAAGAGGATTAGTAGTCTCCATAAAATTCTCTTTGAAGGACATGTTTAAAAACTCATATTTTAATAAATATTTTCAATAACCAATTTTGGATTAAATATTCTATTTATATAATTCATATATGCCAATTTTCAAATTGATCTAACATTTATAACCAAATTAAAGAAACTATATTTATTAACATATATTTCATGATGTTAATTTTTTTTTTTTGGTAATCAATGAATTGATTAGATATCTTAGATTAATATGAAAATTGACTTGTGTGATCTACATAAATATAATTTTTAATCAAATGATTGATTTTGAAAATATTAATTAAAATATAAGATTGTTTAGGATTTCCTCTAAGAGGATATCTTGCAAAATATATAACAATAATATATATTAGTCCCAACCCTATGGAGTTTCAATTCAACAACACCATCATCCAATTAATATTTTGAAAGACAAACGGTTGAATCAAGTTGATCTAATAGCTATAATCCTTCAATTATGAAACTATATTTTCTAACTCTATTTAATAGTTTTAAATTTTTGTATAATTAATGAAAAAGTTAAATATATTCAATCAGTTTGAAAATTAGCATGTATAATAGGAGGAAAACATTAAATCCAACATTGATATTTTAAAATATTTATTGGAGGATGGTATTTTTAAATTGAGATTCCATGGAGTCAAAAAAGATATGCAGCATATATTTAAGTGTTTGTTAGTTAGATCTCTAAAAACATAAAAGGAAAATTTTCTTAAAACTATGGCATTCAATAAACTGCCATGGAAAAGATTAAAATAACTTATTTTTAGAACAAAATTGAAATAGTCTTAGTCTTCTTCTATGGTGTTCTCTTGAAATAACATAGTTTTGGGGCATTTTTCTTTCTAATTTTTCAAAGATTCACTAATCTTGTGTCTATATATATATGTATATAAGTATTAGGTTGAAAGTTCTATTCATCTAGATCTTGCATTTCTTCTTTTATATTGATTTAATAAACCTAATCAACTCATTGCTTACAAAAATTTAACACTATTAAATATATGTTAATTAATAGAATTTCATTTATTAAAAGGTTATAATTGTTAGAACAAATTGAAATTGACTTATGTGATCTACATAAGTAGAATATTTAATTTAAAAATTGATTTTTGATAATACTAATTATAAGCTGAGTTTTTAAGTAAGTCCTCCTAAAACAAATTTAAGAGGATGACTTGTACTATTCTAATCCCACCCTATGGGGTTAGTCTAATGCATTTTGTCCTCCTAAAATTTACTTGGTTAAATCCTCAATTTGGTCCCTCAACTATTGTATGGACCCTGAAGTTTGTTCTTGAACATAAAAATCCCTATTTCAGTCCTTAAAGTTGGTAAATTTGGCTCTTTTTTGGCTTCATTAAAAAGAACACTAAGGTGACTAATTACTTTGACAGGAGAAGAATGACATTAAAAAAAATTTTTACCCGTGGGATTGACAACATGGCAAAAAATGCTTAAAAAAATTCCCTTTTCTTTTTTGCCTTTGAAGATCATAAAGAACTTCAGACTATTTGATCAATCTAATGATCACACACCACATGAAGCACGATGACAATCCTTTATTGCTACCTCGCCATCTCAAGTTGTTCGACCTCACGAGGCTCAAAATTGGAGGCATGGTTGGAGCTAAAGATTCATTTTACCTCAATTGACCTAGAAATTCCTTCCATCCTTGTCATCATTGGATCCTAAACCTAGATTCAAAGGCAAATACCCTAACTTGGCAATCAAACAATAGATTCAAAAACTAAAGAACATAGTTTGTGCTTGTGAGTGTGGAACCCAGGGATGAGACCCCCTTAAATCACTAGTGAAGATTTGAACCCAAGTCCAATTGGGTTCTTTAAAGGCGATTACAAACAAAGTGAATGTGATTGAGTAGAGGATTGTGTAGAAAGAGACTAGATTTGATTTGTAAGGATTCAAAGGAGAGATTGAAGGTAATCAGGAATTTTTGAGTTGTACCAATCCAACTCAAACTAAGAAGCACGAGTAAAAATTTTTGAGTTGGATTTTTGATTTACATCAATTGGAATTTTTATTTTCGTTGAAAATTTGAGATACTCCTATTATTTTTAAGTGCAATTAAAATAGAAAAATGAGAGCTTTTATATCTAAATTCTTGATCATGTTATTCTTTGCAAAGGAGTACAAGATTGTGGTGGTAGGATCGATAATGTTGACAAAAGAAATTAAAGAATCGAGTAGAGAATAATAGTCTAGAGGTTGAAGACGAGCAAAGTAGTTATTTTGTTATATTTTCCTTTATTGGCCAAAAAATATTAATATTTTGTTTTTAAATGCTAACCTAGCTCTTAAAATATCCACATAAACAATAATTAATGGATGGTTGTCCACATCATCAAAAATTTTAAAAATGGACCAAAAAAAAGCTAAAATTTCAAACTTTAAGGATGAAATTAGAAATTTTTTAAGTTAAACAACAAAGTTAAGGGGTTGTACAATAGTCGAGAGACCAAGTTGAGAGTTTAACTACTGTATTTTAGAGTACTTGTCGAAAAACACAAATTCAAATTAATTCTTTTGAAAACAAACAATTATATTAAAAAGTTATATTCATATAGATCATGAATGTTAACTTTCACATTAATCTAGCATTTATAACCCTTTAATAATAATAAAAAAAACTATATTTATTGACATATATTTAACGATGTTAAATTTTATATAATTAATGAACTGGTTAGGCCTTTTAAATTAGTTAGAAAATTGACATGCATTATTTATATA